ACCTACACCCAGGAGGGGAGTAAACTCTTCAAAAGGGCTGACAACAGCAGGACTAGGGGAAATGGATCCAAGTTGAAGGAGGGAAGATTTAGGTTGGATGTTAGGGGGAAGTTCTTTACAAGGAGAGTGGTTAGGCCCTGGAACGGGCTACCCAGGGAGGATGTGGATGCCCCGTCCTTGGACGTGTTCAAGGCCAGGTTGGATGGGGTCCTGGGCAACCTGATCTAAATGTGTACGTTTGGTGGCCCTGCTAGGCAGGGGGGTTGGAACTACATGATCCTTGAGGTCCCTTCCAACCTGGGTGATTCTGAGATTCTGTGATTCTGTAAAAGAGGAATGTTAACTATTAAAAACAATGCAAGAAATATATGAAGTAGACACTTTTTCACTTGGACAATATTTAGAATAACATACTCGTAGGAAGACGTATTCATCAAAGAATAGTGAAGTTGTAAGGCATTTGTGATCATGCCCAACTGGTGTTCATTTTTCACAATCCTATTCCATTAGTTTTAAAATCAAAAGAATAAGGAGTAATTTAGTAGTTGGCAGCTCAAAAGAAACGTCAGTGGGCAGCTGCCAAACTGTGTGGCTGTGCTCTAACTCTTCCTTGATGATCATGTTACTCAGCCTCAACTATCTGAAAGGACAAATGTATAGTGTTGTGAAAATCATCTTCCAACAGTTATCACAGAATTTCTGCAACAGCTTTTAGCAAATACACTACAGCTTAACTGTCATAAGGATTGAAGTAGTTTTTAGGACTCTTGGAAGTTAGCAAAGATGGGACATTTACAGGATTGTATTTGCCCTTGAACAACTCCTGAAAGTGTATTTTAGGGCTTAATGAGGTCCCTGAGGTCTGAGTGATGAAACTGGCTGCCCATGATAGCCCTCACTAGACAAAACTACTGCATCAGAGATTAGTTTATGGAAGTGCCTTTTACTGATTTGTTCTGTAGGTCTCAGTGACACTGGAAAGTGGGATGAACTCCCCACCTGAGAGAAATTGTTGAAATAGCTCTGTTGATCACAGAATTAAGGAAAACACTGCACTGCAGTAAAACCTTTTGGGAAAACAGAGCAATCTAGAATGTCGGTATATATTAAACTAAATTATGAGGCAAATCTCACTTCTCAGCATCATAGCTGCCAAATCTTTTAAAAAAATCTCCTGTAAATTATCTTTATTTCTGTTTTATGTTGATCATGACTGTTCTTACCCAAGTCCCAATGTCAGGAAAATATTCAGACAAAGATCTCCTGGAAAAGGAATTCAGAACTGCCCTGACGACAGTGATGATATCACCACCTTCACAATGACAGTGCTAACCTTATCCAGTGCTCTTGACTGCATGTTGAAAATGAAGGGTTACATGGAGCCTTTTGGACTTTGTGGGGCTGAGATATTGCCAGATCTCATTCTTGGGAAATTCCTGGAAGCAAGAAGCTGGGCCAGACTGAGTAATCCCATCCAAGCTTGGTACTGTCTGGCAGTATAAAAACTGCCTGCCTTGGAGAGTCAAAATGACCTGAGATCACTTTAACTGAGACACATTTCAGACTGATCAAACTGTTACTCTCTATAGTTTTGATGAGACAAAGCTACGTCATTTTGACAGCACACTGTTATTTAGCTCAGGGAAGTTCACAATAGAAAACAAAACTGCGAAAACAGCAATTAAATCTGAAAAAGTCTTGAGATGCAGTCCACACTTTAATGCTATCCCTGTAGGACAAATGTTTATGCACTGCAAGCAAAGATTGAATCTAAATTAGCAATCTTGAAATTACAGTGCTCGATAGCATGCTAGTTATCAGTTATTGCTTGCCCTGTTTTCACTTTTTAAATCTTCAATTTTAGAGTGGGAATTTAATAATTCTTTCATAGCCATCTGGGACCACCTTAAATCATATCTGTGACTTCTCACTCTAACTGAATTCAGCTTTGAACAGGCTCAGCAGAAATTTAGCAGTATGTATGATGTATTACATGTGGCTATCAGAGTGCAGAAAGTACAAGCAAGACATCAGGAGAAGTGGGAAGGCTTAGAAATCATGAATTATAGGACAAATTGTATTTTCTGGGCTATATATATATATATATATATATATATATATATATTTGTTATTTGAATTTTTCCAAGCCTCTCAAATCAGTATATGAGTTCATAAGTCTTAAAAGCCAACATATGATCAAAATACTATGTTTTCCTTTGTTTTCTTTATTATTATTATTTTTTCTCCAGTAATATAAGCCTATTTGCTCTTTGGAAAGTTGATTTAGCTAATTCAAAATATTTCTAGGTAAAGAGAATCCTATGTTGCTTAAATACAGTACATCTAATTAGCATGTGCATGTGTGTGTGCATGTATATATGTATTTGTGTAAATATCTACATGTGTTTGTATGCATTATGTATTTCAATTGCATTTTCCTCTCTCCTTTGGCTTTTCCATTTACGCATCTCAGGCTTGGCTTAGCTACTGATCCATTTTTACGTTCTAGGTAACATTTTCAAAAGTGTTATTGTATGTAAGAAAGTAAATGGCAATCAGGATCTGAAGACAGTTTAGACTCTTGTGAAAGTGGAGTCAAAGATTCCCTGTCACTTTGATGCATGTCACTTTGAGGTTGTGGATGCCTCGTTCCTAAAGGTGTTCAAGGTCAGATTGGATGGGACCCTGAGCAGCATGGTCTAGTATTAAATGGGGAGGTTGGTGGCCCTGCCTGTGGCGGGAGTTTGGAGATTCATGATCCTTGAGGGTCCCTTCCAACCCTGGCCATTCTGTGACTCTGTGATTGTACATAAATTGAGATTGACTTTTGAATCTGTATGTCTGAATCCCTTAGATATCATCTTAGCAGAACTATCTCCCTTGTTCTCTCATTTACCTTCAGTAAGAGCTATCCAGGGAAATACCACAGCTTTTTGCTGCAGAAACAGAGAGGGAGAGAGTATTACCATTTGAACACCCTTAGTATTCAACGGTAAAATTCGTATCTCCAAGTCAAGTTCTCCAAGTATTTTGAGATCACATCTTTTTAATCTTCTGAATGCTGTTCCATGAGCAGAAGGTTATTTCTTTATTAAGAATTACTACTAATAATGATAATAATAGTAACAACAATAAAACAAGTTTTTTTCACTATATATTTTGTGTCATTCATGCTATAAAACTACAAAAGCATATGGTCTCATTTTGTTTTATGGTTGCTTGAACTGTTTTGTTTTGAATGGTACACAAAAGAGTTGAGTTCTTCAGCAATTTTGATTTCATTACTTTGTACTGTTTTTAATTTAATTTAATTTTAATTTAATAATTGTTAAAAATTACACTTTCTTGGTTAAAATAATTTATTATATTTTCAGGCATTGTACAGTAGTAGAGGCACCTACTGATTTATGGGAGTTGAACCATGCTAATGTATAAGTATTGGTCCCACTGGCTTCACTTAGTCTCCAGAAGCACTTAAAGGACTCTAGCTGTTTGAATAACTGCAGTCATTATGCTTTGCTTACGTAGATATGAACTTTAGTAAGTGGGGGATATGGACTTTTTCTCTTTTTCTTCTTTGCACGGTCTGCCTAAAAGCAAACAAAATTCTAGTCCATTATGTTGCAAAATGTTTCTTGGAAGCTGCAAGAAATTGATGGTATTTCCTTCCTTATTCTGCTCCTTGATTAATGAAAAATATCAGAGATGTCAGAAAGTCTGGGCTTAATTCTGCAGAAGATGCTTATGCAACTAAGCTCATATAGTTCATATGAGTTGATGTATGTGTACGCTGTGTACTCTCCGATTCTCATCTTCTCCCATCAAGAGAGAACTATGACTTCTTTCTTCTTATTTCTGGCATTCCTCATCACTGAAACTACACTGCATGGAAGCTTGTATTTTCCCTGATCATCTCACAAAGTGAAGTTGAAAATTGGCTCCGAATCACAGAATGGCCAGGGTTGGAAGGGATCTCAAGGATCATGAATCTCCAAACCCCTTCCATATGCAGGGCCACCACCCTCCCCATTTAATACTAGACCAAGCTGCCCAGGGCCCCATCCAATCTGGCCTTGAGCACCTGCAGGGATGGGGCATGGCTGGAGCACTCTATCTGAGCATTAAAAGGCCTGAATAGACCTCAGATATTCTTCATTCTTAGAAGAATCAAGAGGATTTTCTAGAACCAAATTTCATTGTCTTACTACATATGAGAGCTCAGTTCATTCTTTAATGTCTCTGGGAAAATAATAAGTGAAAATTTCTAGTTTTGTCTGCAATTCTCTCAAATTTATTTAAACATTCATCCAGAAATTTAAAAAAGAAAGGAGAAGAGCAATGCATTATACTTCATTTTTTTCATTAGTTTATTTGTTTGTTTATTCTCATCATTTTCAGTGGGATTTTTTTAAAAAATCTGGAGCTGACTAGGAACTCATTGAGCAGATAAAATAGTTCAGATCCAATCTAAAGTGAAATGTAAGTTTTCACGAGCATTTTGTAGGATTTGTAAGGAGAAGAGGATGGGTATACATTTGTAAATATAGTCCATTTCCATCTTCATTTCTTCCTTTTTCCCTTTTCTTTTTTCTCCAGTCTTCTTTTTCATCTCCCAAAGCACTGATTATTGAAATAATCCATGGACTTGTACCATATATAGATTTTCAGTTGCTAAGTGCTGGAAATTAACCATCTATGCTATGCAGTTTTTAAATGGCTTCTGCCTTCTGGGGGTCCTGGGGATGATTTTTTATGTGACTCTGATAAAGAAATACTGCACAGAATGACTGATGGACAAAGAAGCATGCTAATCATTAGAAAATATTAGTAATAATGATCAATAAAAGTGTCCTGAAAATTGGTGTACAATAGGGATATGAAATGTTACTGATTCTACTAGTGTTACCAGATCAGCTTCAGAGTCATCTACTGATGTTAGCTTTACCACTTGGCAGAAATCAATTAAGTAGTCTTAGCTTTTGAAATTATTAGATTTTTTTCTGAAAATGATCACATTTTCTTCTCATCTCACTGTGTAACACACTCATACAAAAAGGGTGATATTGCTGTATTTGAGTTCTGTGGAAGATAGAAGCAGAGCTTTAAAGACCATCCATAGCTACTTAATCTGTAGCCCAAATCTTGGCCAAATTTCAGCAATTACAGTACTCACTAAAATAAATACTCATATTCATGTAATGACAGATGAATGCCCAGTTACACTGCAGCAAGACACATTTTCTGCAACAACAAGCAGCCTAAAAAGAACTGTAAAAAAGTAGCTGATACAGGACCTCGACTAAGCCCAAGTGAGTGAGTTATTTGTTCATCAATGGAATTTCAATGGAGTTTTCCAAAAGCCTGCTTTCTGCTTTCACCCCACAGGCTGATGCCTTAGAACAGGAGATTTTAAAGCAGATGACTCAAACAGCTTTTGAAAAGATGGGGAGATGTCACATTTTCTTTTATGTCCTATTTCAAAATTTTAAGTTGAATATGTGAATTTTATTGGTTTGGTTCTTCCCTTCAATTTTTGAGTAATTCAAAATAAAGAAGCCAACTGCAGCAAAGAATCAACCAACACATAAAGGCCTTTGGGGGATGTTTGGTTTGCAAATGAAGAAGACAAAGCGAAATAGAGATTTTCCTATGATCTTGAAAGGTTTCCTTTGTCAGAAAATCAATTTCTGTTCCTTAACCATTTCTCTTTGTAGAAGAATTATTTGCCTGACCTTTGCAGCCAGTTTCTGACCTCTTTGTCTTATTTAAATATGTGTGTGAACATGTACATTCACTGCTCAAACTAGCAGACTGGTACACTTTTTCTCATCTTTGTGCTAGATGAAGATACCACTGATTTTCCTCACCCTACTATGACCACTGTGAATGTGTATACACATACATTCCGGCTAAGTTCTTTGTTTCTAGAATTGTTTAAACAAGAAATAAATACATAAAAATATTTATGGATTAGAAAGTTTACATAAGTAGATGGAAGATTCAGATGGTTTATGTGTTATTTTTCATCTCCCCCATCAATTCATTTACATTTCATTGGCCAAACTTAGCCAAAAACATTTCAAAAAGATGAATATTCAAATTTAAATGATCTGCCTTGTTTATTTTCTATGATTTTTATATTCTTTCCACAAGCATCTGCTACTAGCACCAGTCATAAGTATGAATGAACAAAAAACTGACAAGCTTCTTGAGAATGTTTCTTCTATTTTAGTAAGGAAAGTGAATGCTGCATCGTGATTTTTACTTAGTTAATCCTGTTATTTCCTGCAGTGATTCATCATGACTGGTCAAAACTAAATCAAACAGGAGAAACAAATGCCAGTTAGGTCTCACTTAATCACATACTAATGTAATGATAGATGCAGATATTTTTCTCTGCATGACCTTTGTTGTTTTTATTGTTTGTTTTTTTTTGTTTGTTTATTTGCTCCTTAGCCCAGTATCTACATTTACTTAAACATCATAAAAATCTGGAACACAAATTTAGCATTCTTGTTTTAAAGTGTTACTATTAGAAAGGTGGAAAATTTCCGTGTACGAGCAGCAGTGAAGTTCTAAAACATGGTAGTCATGTTTTTCAAAAAGTAGCCCATTCAGTCTGGAAAAGAGCCACAAGGATATAGCTGCTTTGTTTACCTCTTATAAAGCTTATAGTGACCTCATGTAGAGCTGAGTCTGTTCAACACTGAAGAAGACAGATCTTTCCCGATTCTCACATATGTGAATGATTTCATAAATCTTGAAATCGCTGGCATTTTTTTTCAATGAAATTATTCTTAGAAATTCAAAAACTGATATTCCTATGAAAAAATTTATTTTATTTTATCCATTTGTTTATTTCTTTGTTTATTTATTTATTTTTGCCTGAAACTTCCATTTGCATATTTGGTCATTTTAGTATTATGATCATTTCATTATTGACCTAGGTTTCCTTGGCTTTATGGTTGGAATAGATAATTTTAGAGGTCTTTTCCAACCTTAATGATAGCAGGATTGTACGATTCCACTAAGTAATTTTCAATTTCTACAGTTATTGTCCTTTCCCTTCCCAACTCCCAGAATTTATTAATACTTAAGAATAATACTAGTATAGTAAATTTAATAAAAATATATTTTTAATTTTAACTGAAATTTTCACTTTCAAAGCTTTCTTAAGAAGTAAACACCGAAAAGCAGTAAAAACTACAAAAATATATCTAAATATGTGAAGACTGGTACATTGGAAAGGCTTTCCAGAAACAGGAAAGAAATAATTATTCTGAGTTTTTTTATAGGTGTAAATGTGGTTTGCATGAGCTACAAGTAGTGCTGATAAAATCAGACTTGCTCTTTTCAGGTGTTGGATCAAATAAAGATAACTTGAAAACAGAAGCAAAATACATGCACAGACAAAAAAAAAAAAAAAAGCTTGCATTTTTTCCCACAGTTATTTTTTTCCCCAGATTCCTGCCGTTTACTCCTGGCTGATCACACTACATCTAATTTCTAAATTAGTCATAACTTCTCAATTCTAAAATTTGCATATGCAATACACTATTTCCAGAAATGTGAAAGACTGTTTAGTCAAGGAAAAAAAAAAAAAAGGAAAGAAAAAAGAAAAAATTCTTGCTTCTCTTTAGAAGTTTAGAATGTTACTTATTGTTGGAGGCACTGAACAAAATGTGCTAGAGGAGGTTTGGGTTGGATATTAGGAAAAAATTCTTCTCAGATGGAGTGGTGAGGCACTGGAACAGGCTGCCCAGGGAAGTGGTGAAGTTTTCAGCCTTGATGATTCTCGATTCTATAATATTCACGGTGATAAAGTTGCTAAGTTTCACAGGTGTTTTGAGTATTTATTTCCTTTACGATCACTTGAATTTAAATTTCTTATAGTGTAATTGATCAGATTCTATAACTTCATACAACTGCCATAGCAGTTTTCAGATTGAGTGGAATTTTCCTAATTTCTTTTCAAATAAAATTTGAAACTTACCTTCTTGGTGGTTTGGTTTGTAAGATGAAATTGGGAAAGTATACTACAAAGGAGTTTGTAAATAGAGGTAACAAAAATAAAATCTCATCATTGTCATCACAGAAAATCTGAAAATGTCCTGAATGTATGTACATAAACTTATGTTTTTAGTTTAGTATTCTGACAATTTAGAAGGCTAATACAATTAAACGTCCAGGAAAATAGATATGTATCCACAATTTTAGCTCAATTTACAGAATGTATTTGCTCAAAGGTATTGATCCTTAAAAGTAGACAGATGAGTCAGAACTTGTTATAGCACCAGGGGATTCAAACGTGTTCTCCACATTCCCAAACTCTTCCATAGTCTGCATTTGCATATCAGGAAGTTGAGAGAGTTTTGAGGAAAATAGGATTGTTGCTATGTTCCTCCAAGATGTGAAGGTGTTATCTTCCACCACATGAAGGTCCCATCACCAGGCAAGGCTTAATCTGTAATGAAGGGGCAGGTCAGGGCTGGATGCTATGCTGAAAGGACAGCTGAGGGTCTAGAGGTATATAAATGTCTTCACTCTCAGTGCAGTGACTGAGGAGCTATGAGGCAGTTCTGAAATAAACTCAATGAAAAGGGAAGTGATTAGAGAGCTAAAAATGTTAGATTTTTTTTCCTAATTGGGACTTACTGATAATTATGGCACTAGGTTAACAAATTAGCTATCTCCTATACAGTGGCTTTCCTTTTCAGTCACACATTGAAATTCTAATTATTCCAGAGCCCATGTAGAATTCTTCAGAAGGGGACTTCTTGATCTTGTCCTTATGATACTATGATTCTATGATTCCTTTATTTTCTGAGTTCACCTGATTGATTTGTCAAGAGGATAAACAGTATCTCAAATTAATTCAAGTGTAAGTTTGAATCTGCTAGGAAAAACAACAAAAGAAAAACAAAACAAACAAAAAGAAACCTTTGTTTGTTTGTTTCTTTGAATTTTCCTTTCCTCACATTTTTTATTACATATTTCTCCCTCTGAATATTGTTAACATATTTTACCTAAGTCATATTTCTCTATATATTTGCAAAAAGCTATTCCACTGACTTTTGTAAAATTAGAAAATTACCATAGAAACTGTTCTGTGTTTTAAAAAAAGATATCATTACACCAAGGAGAATGTAAAAATAATGACTGTTTTCCAAAACAGGAAAACATACAGCTCTAGTCTATTATTGGCTGCCAATGGATCAATGGATCCAATGTCTGGATAGAGATCAGAGACGAGTGGTATCCCAGAGGGATCAGTGCTGTGGTTGATACTCTATAATAACTTCATCTGTGACATTGACAATGGGGTTGAGCACACCCTCAGCAAGTTTGCTGATGATACCAAGCTGTGGGGTCCAGTTGACACACCGGAGGGACAGGATGTCATCCAGAGGGACCTAGACAGGCTTAAGCAGTGGACCCAGGTGAACCTCATGAAGTTCAACGAATCCAAATGCACCTGGGTTGAGGCAAGCCTCTCTACTCATACAGCTGGAGGTTGAAAGGATTGAGTGCAGTCCTACCAAAAATAATCTGGGGATACTGGTGGATGGGAAGCTGGATGTGAACCAACAGTTCACAGCTCAGAAAGCCAACTGTATCTTGGGCTTCATCAAAAGAAGAGTGGCCAGCAGGTTGAGGGAGGTGATCCTGCACTTCTACTCTGTGCTGGTGGGTCCTCAGCCAGAGCACTGCATCCAAATGTAGAGTCCTCAGTACTGGAGAGACAAGAACCTGTTAGAGCACATCCAGAGAATGGCCACACAAGTAATCTTCTCTTACAAGAACAGTCTGAAAGACCTGGGGATGTTCAGCCTGGAGAAGAGAAGGCTGCAGTGTGAACTGATAGTGGCCTTTCAATATCTGAAGGGGAGCTACGGGAAAGAAGGGGACAGAATCTTTAGCCGTTTAGGAAATGGCTCCAAAGCTTAGAGAGAGTAGATTTAGATGGATATAAGGAAAAAGCCTTTTACAGTGAGGGTGGTGAGTTACTAGAGCAAGTTGCCAAGTGATGTGGTTGATGCCCTATCCCTGGAGACTTTCAAGGCAATGCTGGATCAGGTCCCGGGCAACATGTTGTTACAAGATCATTTCAGGGGAGTTGGACTAGATGACCTTCCAGTTCTAAGGATTCTTTGATTCTGTAATCATTTATTTAGTTAATATTTTATTCCCATTAAATAGGGAATAAAATATTAACTAGTAGTCCTTTTATTCCCTATTTAAAGGGAATAAAATATTAACTAGTAGTCCTTCTCGATAGCCTCACTTAGTTTATCTAATAGGGAATAACAGCAGTTTCTGATTGTAAACAGTGAATTTTAAATAATAGCACAGTGTTTTGCTCTGAGTTCTTTTTTCTCTTTCCTCCTAGGATGACAGTGCTATCACATTACTTTCTTCAAAAAAGTTCTTTGTTCTCAAAAGAGAATGCAGTATTTTGAAAGAGAGACCATTCAGGTGGAAAAAAAAAAAAAGCCTCAGAAATACATATCTGTAGGAACATTGGATATTTTTGATATTTAGTTTCTGTTTAGTTCAGTAGAAGTTAATGGAATTGGAAGAACTCAGAACTTTAGAACAGTTCTATTTCACTGGCCAGAACCATATCCTTTATATTTGACACTCTCACTTGCGTCCACTTCAGGGTCTCAAAACCATAAGTACTCCAATTTGAGCACTCAGTACACATAGGTATATTATTCTGATTGTGCACAACGGGAAGCCAGAGTGCATCTGATTTGAAAATACAGCATTTAAAGTCAGGGTGAGCATTTAACATATTAAAACATTATCAGCTCTGTGATCTTTTCTGCACTAGTGGCACAACAATTATTTTTGGAGAAACAGCATGAGATGTCATAAACACAGGATTATGACTTCCCTCAGCTAAAGGAAAAGCTGATTTGTAAGGGAAAAAGCTATTCTAATACTAACATCTTTAATAATAGCAAGGGGAATAAAGAACATTGCTATCTAAGGAAATTGCTCAGGGTTTTTTTTTTTTTTTCATTTTAAATGCACTCAGTATGAAAGGCTTCTTTAAAGAAAATTAAAGGAATTGTGTCCTTTTTTTTTTTTTTTAAATCTGTTCAGTTTTAAGGAATTCTTCTTGGTTTTCCTCTTCAAGGAAATTTTAGGCAAAATGTGAGGTAATTGGTTTTAAAATCAAAACCAAAGATCGAAATCATAATATGTTTGGGATAATGTAAAACTGATATATTCACTACTCTTGACAACAATTGTACGTATTGGTAATTTTTTTTTTTTTTTAGTTCATTTTGTCAGTTTTTTTTTTAAATTCAAGCACTTGCTTGTTATTCCAAATCTAATTCCTTCAGTTACTCAATATTTATTACAGTTAGTAAGTACAGGAATGCATGAAAAAGAATTAGTCACAGTAGGCACTGCAGGCACAGGATTGGAAGAGAATCTTATCTGCTCCACTGATTGATGAGGTGTGCACTCTCGTGCCTTCTCACACACCACTGGACTCAGATTATGTCTATGCTAATACCACTACAGCAAAGGCAAAATGGACATTGTAAGCACTAAATAAGGGGAGAAGAGTGACACAGCTGAATTACTGCAATATTAATTAGGGGTGAGAACAAAACACATTCATCTTATTATTTTATCTGTTTATGATGAGTACTAAGTCTTCCTATCTTTCTTCATTCAGTTATCAGTAAATGGGCTGATTCCTTGAATAACTTTTAAGGGAATAGGTCTCATAGAAAGATTTATTCAAGTGTGTAAAGGGGAGAAGAATTTATCTGAGAGACAATAGGCTAATATGGCTGAAGAGGTAGAAGTGTTTGCTTTTACACTGAGAAAGAAGAAAACAGGGTTGGCATATAAAGAAAGATGAGAAGATGGAATGTTTACTTGTTAGAAGATCAATGTTCATAAGCAACACTTTGAGATGTAGTGAATGCTGAATGTGACAGGAGAAGTAGCTTGGTACAAATCAAACGTGTGAAAAGTCTCAGAGATATGGTTATAGACTGTGGAATAGCATATCGAACAGATTCAATCCTTCAGTCATTTAAAAGCCAGACTAACAAAAACATTATGCATATTATGTATATGCATGATACATGTATAAAAATACATTAGAAGATAAATATATATTATTTAATGCAACTGAATTTAAAAATATAAATAATCATTTCATATAAATTCTGAATGTAAACTCATTTTATATGTCTTATAAAATTCCAGAACAGAGCTTATTTATATTCAGCAGTCAAAATGGGAATCTAGACGTACCCCTACCTCATTGAAATCTATTCATCAATGTTCAAAAGGTGTCAGTATTTGTGATTATGGTTCTGCGAAGTGCTGAGAAGGCACCATATATCAGCTCATTTTGATCAGTGGTTATATTGCCTTCAGTTATAAACTGCAGCAGTTCTTTTTCCATCTGCAGGAAAGAACTTACCGTGAAGCAGCTGTTATTGTAAGATTTCCATCTGAATTGTTGCTGCTCCCATTTTAGCACGCAGCCTTTGGATAACATTTAAATAATCAATCTTTTCCTTGCTTATCCAAACCAAACCTAATGTGTTGAGATTTGTCCTTCACTGCTGATACAAATTTATTTTATTAGTCACATCAGTTAATTTTAATTATCATCATTATTCAGTTATAACCTCATGTCTGACAATAGGAAGGATATCAGTGCCTATTCAACTCCTTATCCAAAAGTAGGAAGGTTACTGAGTGAGATTTATTTTAGGAAAAGAGCAGATGAAAGGCAATATCCGGTGTAGTAACATATTGCTAGCTGTGCACTGCTATGTAAGTAGACAAACATGCAATGTGTGGGGTCCAAATTGTGATATTACTTTCCTGTTTATCTTTGTGAATTCCATTAAAAATATGTACCTTTATTGAACTTTAACAAAAAAGACAAGGTAGTTTTATTTTTATTTATTTATTTATTTATTGGGGTCTCCATTCTAGTACTTCTGAAATTTCACTCAAACCACTTGATTAAAAAAGATTTACTGAGGACAAGCTTTCTCCATGGGAGCACAATGAAAGAATCGAACAAACCAATTTCACTGTAATTTGAGAATGCACTGGTAATACCTCTCTGCTGAACCTGATCTGTCTCACCTTGTATCCCACTGTGTAAGGAATGGGGAAAGAATGTGTTTGAGCACATGTCTAAAGGGCTTGAATGGCAGAGGATTGAAACCTATCCTGGTAATGGAACTTTATAAAAGCCTGTATGGTCTTTGAACCTGGCTCTTTTCCAAAACAGGGGGGCACTGTTGTATCTTGTTTGTCATTTCTGCAAGCTAAATAAAAAAGAAATTAGACTGTAAAGTAGGTCCTTCCCAGAACACCTTTGAAAATTACGAAAGCATACTTACAGGGGAAAGCAAGGGAAAAAATTGGAGGCCAAAGGGTTTTTTTTCAAATGTACTGCAGAACTCC